TCTATTTTTGTGTCTTTTTAATCGGGGAGGGGGAGGAGGTGGTTGTAGCTCTCATTATTTTTTTTATTAAAAAGTAACCTACCTGGAGGCTCCCTTGTCTCCCAACCCCATGTACAGAGATCACCAGGCCCTGCCGTGTACAGCCCCCAGGCCGTCTGCAATCTCACTTTTTTGTGAATAAATTTGTTAAGAAAAAATGATGTCGTTATTTGTATTTGTGCTCAGGGATTGCAGGACAGAACTGGGTCTAGTGGAGTCTTTCTAGGACTTGGTTCCATCTCTGAGCAAGTGGGGGCGCTCTCACATTCGCGGGGGGGGCGGGGGGGGGAGTGGTGTCGACGCCGACACGTAGGATGCCCAAACAGTGACGATTTAGTATTGTGGGAGAAGGAAGGCTAACTTTGAGAGTCGTGAAGCTGCGGGACGCAGAAACTAGAGTGCAAGCACAGGTGTGCTGGATTTTGCCGGAGATGGGGGCTGCCCCTTGAGGGAGCAACACCCGAGAATCCATGTTGACAAACACAGAGTACGTTGCCGGGCGTCCCTGGCTCCCGTAGGCCCAGTCTGTTGCTAACATCAAGGAGCTGTTTATGGAGCAGCCTCCCGGAGGACTGGCCTCCAGTGTCCCGATCTGCTCTCCCCACAACCAAAGCTCACCGGGGCCCTTCCTCTTCCTCCCCCCCCCCTCCCGCCCCAACACACACACCCGGGCTCTAACCCTGGCTGGGCCTGGGAAACGAGCTGGGGAGTGCAGACTGCCAGATTCAGTCTTGCATTCAGGCAACTGGCAAGACAGTGATGGCTGCACCGATTAACTCCAACTCAGCAGCGAACTAGTTAATCTGCTTTCAAGATTTTTACCCTTAGCCTTACAGTGGCTCCGCCTCGTAGGGTCACTGCCAGTTCAGCACTTTCATTGGTGAATGTGATCCGGGACCTTTCAGGATCCACCAATCCAGAAGCAGGAAGGAAAGACTCTGGCACGTGCCGCCGGAATAGAGCGGACGGCGAGTCGCAGTGGCCGAAAGGGCTGGGGGCAGTAGTAGTGGGCCGGAAGTGCTTGTTACCCTCTGGTGGCCCGGGAAACGCAACTTGTCAGAATTTTAGGTTGCTGCCGACCTCCTCATCCTGGCCGAGGCAGATAGCGTGGGCGTGGCCCTTATCTGCAAGCTCTGGAACCAGGTCTTGGCTTCTGCTTCCTTTCCCCTCATTTTCTCTTTTCCCTAGCTTGTGGGTGGGTGCTGGCCCCTGGGTGAAGAACGTATTTATCCACCAGCAATTACTCACTCTGCCTTAGCTTCCCCTAAATAAGTGGGTGGCGAGGGAGGCGGGCGTGTGGAACGCGGAGCTCCCTTCTGAAGCTCAGGATACTGTGTGATCTGATGGTTTGTCTCCTGCTTTTTCTCCAAGCTTTGCAATGGGCCGGACCGTGGTGGTGCTTGGTGGAGGCATCAGTGGCCTGGCTGCCAGCTACCATCTGAGTCGAGCCCCCTGCCCCCCTAAGGTGAGTACCCTACCCGTACTATAGGTAGTAGCATCCTTTAATACTCTTCCATTTCCAGCAAAAGCCGGACGGATTCTAGTCCGAGGAACGCACCTATTCCCTCCACTACAGATGATGGTGCAGTGTGTCCCCTTTATCGCCAGGTGGTTCTAGTGGAGGGCAGCAAGCGTTTAGGAGGCTGGATCCGCTCCATTCGAGGGCCTGATGGCGCAATATTTGAACTTGGACCTCGGGGAATTAGGCCTGCAGGAGCCCTGGGCGCCCAGACCTTGCTCCTGGTGAGTGACTTGTGAAGTTTGTAGAGAAGTTTGCCCAAAGGACTTCTACTAAGTGGGGTAGAGTTGAGGGGAGGAAGTATGTGGTTCAGATCTTTCCTTAGTTTCTCCTCTTCCCGAGGACGTGTGGAGAGCAGGTTTCTGAGCTTGGCTTGGACTCAGAAGTGTTGCCTGTCCGGGGAGACCATCCAGCAGCCCAGAACAGATTTCTGTATGTTGATGGCGCCCTGCACCCCCTACCCACTGGCCTCAGGTAACAGGACTTTCCATTACACCCATTCTTAAATACTTTCCATTTCTTCATCTCCCTGTCAGTCAGCCTTCCCAGCAAAAGGGAGCCAAATGAATGAAAATGACACCCGGGGGTTGGGAAAGTAATTTTCTCTTCATTATGCCTTCCTCCAATGCAGGGGGCTACTCCGCCCTTCACCCCCCTTCACCAAACCTCTGTTTTGGGCTGGGCTGAGGGATTTGATGAAGCCCAGGGGCAAAGAGCCTGATGAGACTGTGCACAGTTTTGCCCAGCGCCGCCTTGGACCTGAGGTGACACTACTCAGAGGCCTCAAACCTCTCCCCTTAAACTAGTTGCAAAGCCCCTTCCTCGAACTTACTCCCAGGGTTCTTTTGTATTATTTCATGTGCCCTCTTCAACTCTTCAGATCGCTGAAATCTCCAGAAGTTAGTGTTGAGATTTAATGCAAATACTTTCACCTCTTTCTTATTCTTCTATTAAGGATAGAAATACCTCCACCTTAAGCCCTCTCCCCATCAGCATTCCCTACCAACCAGGGGCAATGGTAATCTGTGTAGTTTATTCCTTGACCTCTTAGTCTCACCCTTAAGGTGGCATCTCTAGCCATGGACAGTCTCTGCCGTGGAGTGTTTGCAGGCAACAGCCGTGAGCTTAGCATCAGGTCCTGCTTTCCGAGTCTCTTCCAAGCTGAGCAAACCCATCGTTCCATAATACTGGGGCTGCTGCTGGGGGCCGGTAAGGAGAGGATTGGTTTAAAGATATTAAGGTCTGCCAAATTGAGGGTCTGGACTGGTGGGGGTGGGATAGGATGAGTGACATCATCTTGATGTTTTTTTTTGGGGGGGGGTTCCAGTCATGGGGCCTGAACTCTGGGCCTGGGCGCTGTCCCTCAACTCTTCAGCTCAAGGCTAGTGCTTTACCACTTGAGCCAAAGTGCCACTTCCGGCTTTTTTCTTTTTTGCTTATGTTGTGCTGAGGAATCGAACCCAGGGCCTCAGGCATGCAAGCAAGGCAAGCGCTCTACCACTGAGCCACCTTCCCAGCCCATCTTGAAGTTCTTTACTCCCTTCTCTGCAGGTCGGAGCCAACAGCCAGACTCAGCGCTTATTCGCCAGGCCCGGGCTGAACGCTGGAGCCAGTGGTCACTTCGTGGAGGGATGGAGATGTTGCCTCAGGCTCTTGATGCCCATCTGACTGGTAGAGGGGTCAGTGTTCTCAGAGGTCAGCCAGTCAGTGGGCTCAGCCTCCAGGCAGAAGGGCGCTGGAAGGTAGGAGAACCCTCTGGAGGGTAATGAACCTGTCATTCTTACCATCTCTGGCCAAGTGGTTTAATCAGGCTGGGGCTGATAGCACTAGTTCCTCAGTTTTTAGGCCTTCAGAAGTTACTAAGGGGTGCTCAAGGTTCTTAGACCTTATTTGTGCACCTTCCTCAAAGACCGCAAGGTACAAGTCTGAAGGTAGTAGTAGTACTGGTGTGGCTCAAGGATAGGGAAAGAATCAACCTGACTGAACATTCCAAACTACTAATGATTTTTGTGTACATAATATTCATTCTCTTCAACCTTATCAACACCCTTTCCTATCAATTGGATATTTAGGAAACTGACAGTGAGGAAGCAAGTCCCACTTATAAGGTTCTCATTATTACTGCCTTTCTCAAATATCCTCATCCTCTCAGGTATATCTAGGGGACAGCAGTCTGGAGGCTGACTACATTATTAGCGCCCTTCCAGCTTCAGGTAATGTGTAATGCCATCACCTCTCCAATCATTAAGAAGCAATAACTTCTTGTGGCCAACAAGACCCCTGAAGTAGTCATCCCTGTATGAGTGTAATCCCCAAGATAGCTGAAAAAACTATAGGAATGTATCTTCAATCAGTCCCGTCTGAACTCCAGTGCTCAGCAAGCTGCTTCCTGCCGAGGCTGCACCACTGGCTCATGTCCTGAGTACTATCACTGCTGTGTCTGTAGCCGTAGTCAATCTGCAGTACCAAGGAGCACATCTACCTGTCCAGGTATGACACTGAAGGGAATGGGAGACAGGGGCTCAGCTGGAACCCTTCCCTTCTGATATTTTTTTTCTTTCCAGGGATTTGGACATCTGGTGCCATCCTCAGAAGACTCAAGTGTCCTGGGAATTGTGTATGACTCAGTTGCATTCCCAGAGCAAGACGGGAAACCCTCTGGCCTCAGAGTGACTGTGAGGACACTTTGCTTAGTGGGATTTCCTCTGTGCCCCAGTGTAGACAAGACCAGGCTGGTCAGTGCTATATTCTCTTCCTAGGTCATGTTGGGAGGTTCCTGGTTACAGACGCTGGAGGCTAGTGGCTATGTCTTATCTAAGGAGCTGTTCCAACAGCAGGCACAGGAAGCAGCTGCCAGACAATTAGGCCTGAAGGATCCACCAAGTCATTGTTTGGTCCATCTACACAAAGTGAGTTGAGATGAATTTCCATCAGTTCCCCACTGTAGAACTTAAAAGGAGGGACTGGTGATATTTATGGTGTCAACAAAGGCTTGAGAAATCAGAAATTAATTTCTCTGCATCTTCTCTCTCCTCAGCACTGCATCCCCCAGTACACATTAGGCCACTGGCAAAAACTAGGTAAGTCGGGAATGCAATTGGGCAGAGGAAGGCTAAGTAAATCGGACCCTAGCTATAACATTCCTTTGATCCTTTCTTTCCAGAGTCAGCCATTCAATTCCTGACTGCTCGGAAGTTGCCCCTAACTCTGGCTGGAGCCTCCTATAACGGAGTTGCTGTCAATGACTGTATAGAGAGTGGGCGCCAGGCAGCAGTCACTGTCCTGGGCACAGAGCCCAACAGCTGACCACCAAATTCCACTCATGAAAATAAAAGTTGCTGGAGCTTAGCTTGTTCTCACTATTCTTTCACCTATAGGCATGAGGGTAGAGATGGAAATAAGGAAGGTAAAGTGTGCCTGTGATGCAGAAAGCAAAAGCAGAAGCGAGACAAAGTCCTTTATTAGAAAATATATCAAAATCCTAGCCCCCTGACCAGGACCAGAAGAGGGAGCTACTCCAGCATGTGGCAGAAAGTGCCCAGAGAAGGGCTTCCTTCACCAGACAGCTTCCTTGGAACCATAAATAGAATAAATATTCACAGAGGTCCCAGGGGAAGCCAGATCACTCTTTTTGGAAGAGAGTGATCTCTGTGGAAGAGGAAGGGGCTTGGGGCCCAGCCCTGCTCCTACCCCAAGGGGCAAGGGATTCCCAGGAGTCATCACATAAAATCATGACATCAAGAATTCACAGTCATAAGCTCTGGCAGGTGACCCTAGAAAAAGGGACTGCCAAATCTAGAGGAGCCCAGCTCCAGTCCAGCAGTGAAGAGAGGCCCCTGGCCCCTAGCATAGCACTAGAGTTCAGTTTCCCCACACTTCTCTAAGAGGAGTGAGGAGCTGAGGGTAGAGACAATACAGCCCCTTTGAAGTAGGTTCAGGATTAAGGTGGGCAAGGAAGAATCAGTGTGAACCACGGGGGACTGTGTGGTTGGCAGTAGGCAGAGGACCAGGCCTAGCTGGAGGCCGGCGCTGCAGCATCTCTTGACGGAAGGCTTGGGAGGAACCAGGAGGGTAACGGGGACCAGAGGGGGCACGAGGACCCCGAGGATCAGTCCCTATGTCTGCTGTCACATTTGTATACAGAGGACCCAGCTCTCGAGCCAGCAATCTGTATGTCAGTGAGTTCATTCCATCTTGTGTCCAGGAATTCTGGGTACGGACCAGGAGGTCAAATCTGAGGGTTAGAAGTTGGAAACTAAGACACAGAAAGGAATAGACAGGAATCTAGAGACCTTTAGGGGTAAGGGACTTCCTGGCTAAGGATACAGAAATCTGAGAATCCAGTAACAATTCCCAGGCAATTCTTCCTACCTGTGGGGATTTTCCTCATTGCCCTTATCTCCTCGGTGCTTCACCATCTTATAGTGTCCCACAGATGTGGGAGGCCGAGAGATCTTCATCCCAGCCAGACGCACCCTATAGGAAAAAGTGAAGGGCTCTTGGAGGATCCAGCATGGAGGAAAGCTTCTGACAGGTGTATAAAAAGAGCAAAAGCCAGCAAAGAAGGGGCAGCATGTTTCTTTACACAAAGAACAATTATTATGGGTTAAGTAAAATTTTTTAAATTTTACTGTAGAGAAGGCAGGAGAAAATCACACAGAAAGAGGGAAATAGTAAAAGTTCCATGTATCCAAATTGGCAGGTCCCAGAGCCTGGCACCCTGGGGCCTTTAAACAATTGGTAAAGAGGTCAGTTTGTACCTCCTATGTTTGCTTCTCTCAGTATTTGCTCTTGCAGTCTGAGGAGGACAGGGAAAGGGGTCATTTTGTCAAAAAGACAAGACATGATTTGAAGTTACAGTCCCAAACTCAGCATTTTTCACCCATTTTTGATGCTGAGGACCAAGCATAGTATCTTGCACAAGCTAAGTATACACTCTACCACCAAACTGAATAGCCCCTTAATTGTTACTTAGAATTAATGGCTGAGCTACCTAATTCCTCTCTCCCTGCTAGCACATGCTTTTTGTTTTTGTTTTTAAGTGGACACAAGCAATCAGGACCTTAAATCCTAATACTGGCAGATGAAAGCAAGGAGTAAAGATAGCCTGGGAATAAACTGAAAGAATGTGTGCATTTGGAAATTTGCTGAGTACTTCACACCTCCCACAAAGATGAGAATCCACATGAGGATGTCATCCCAATGGACACAAGAAAGGGAGGCAATAGATCCAGCATACCAAGCCCAAGTATTCACACCACATATAAAACTGGGTCAGCTAAAGCTGAAGGTCAGAATGTTTCACATGTTAAAAAATGAGTTGGCATCATGCCAATGGCACAGGCCATTTTTTTTTTAAGTAATTCTGATTACACAGGGCAGATCCTCTATCCCCTTATGAGTGTCAGCACGCAAGCCTACCAGAAGGCAGAACTAAACAGTCTCTAGGACACTCTCCAGCCCTGGAATCTCATGACAATATTTTCTATAACTAGGTCTAGAAAAAAAAACAGATGACAGAATGAACAGCAGTATACAAAGCCTTACCTGGGTAGACTAAAGAAGACTAAGGGAAAGAAACAGGCTCAGTGCAGGACAAAGAAGCTAAAGCTTAGTGTTGAAAGGCTGTGGTCAGGGGTAGGGGTGAAAGTGGTAGTATGAAGTCTGACCTGGTAGCAATGTCGTCATCCTCACCACCCCAGCCCCAGTATTCATTGGGGAAGCCATTCATCTTCAGGTATTGATCAGGAGTGAGCGCTGAGACCCCTCCAAAGTACTGAGGGTATGGAAGGCTAGGGAAAGAAAGATCCTTGCATAGCACAAATCTGAAAGACATCCCTACCCATGACCCCTGGGCTCTCCTACCATCATTTCCACACTTCCCAGCACCCTTCCATGCCCTCTACCTGTATCCAAACTTGTTCATGGCAACAGCTACATGGCGGGGTCCCCGGGGGTCACACACATACAGATTATGGTCGTTTTCTGGCAGGAGATCTACATCATGCAAGAACAGGCAGTCCCACTCTTCGTCACGAAGGGCCTCCCTCACCCCAACATTCAGTAGCTTTGCCCTGTTAAATGTTCCATTTCCAGCCTAGAAGATAATGAACAAGGACTATAGACAAGCAGGTGCTGAAATATAAACATGAAAAGGGGAATCTATGTGGAAAGAAGGGCAAGGAGAAAGACAAACTATCTCTTTCATTTGGCCAGTCAATTTTTTTTTTCTTGCATGTTAGCATATGCTTGACAGTTAGGTGCTGCTGTTTTAGCATTTCATCATAACAACCATGTAGAAAAAGTGGTGTATTATCTGTCGCTTCTTGCCTTTATTTTAGACAGTTAAATAATCTTCCCCTTTTTCGGTAGTACTGGGATTTGAACTTGGGGCTTCATGCTAGGCAGGTGCTCTATCCTCTATCCTTTTTCACTTTAGTTATTTTTTTATTTCTTTTTTTTTGGGGGGTCCGGTTGTGGGGCCTGAACTCTGGGCCTGGGCACTGTCCCTCAGCTCTTCAGCTCAAGGCTAGCGCTCTACCACTTGAGCCACAGCGCTACTTCCGGCTTTTTTCTTTTTGCTTATGTGGTGCTGAGGAATCGAACCCAGGGCCTCCGGTTTGCAAGGCAAGCACTCTACCACTGAGCCACCTTCCCAGCCCTTTAGTTATTTTTTTAGATAGAGTCTCATATTACTTGCCCAGGCCTCCCTGGACCACAGTCCTATTTATAGCTCAAACGTAGCTGGGATTACAAACCTGCATCACTAATCCCAGCTGATTCAATGCTGGTTTTGATAACTTTTTACTCGTGCTGGCCTTGAACCTTGATCCTCCTGACCTCTGCCTCTCAAACAGCTGGGATTACAGGCAGGAGCCACTAAGCCTAGCTTAAAGGGTTAGATAACTTGCTCATCCTTCTGTACAACACCTTAGTAACAATGAAATTATATTTAAAAATACCTAGTCCAAGGTCACACATGACACAAATAGTAGAGCTAGAATTTTAGCCCTCTGCCCAATTACAAATTTGTAGAAACCACTAAACAAAAGAAAAACCATGGAGCTGGGTGCCAGTGGCTCACGCCTGTAATCCTACCTACAGAGGAGGCTGAGATCTGAGGATGACAGTTCAAAGCCAGCCTGGGCAGAAAAGTACGTGAGACTCTTATCTCCAGTTAACCACTAAAAGAAAACCGGAAGTGGTGCTGTGGTTCAAGTGGTAGAGTGCTCGCCTTGAGCTGAAGAGCGCAAGGACAACGCCCAAGCCCAGAGTTCAAGCCCGACAAAAAAAAGAAGAAAAAAACCATGGAAGATATGAGAGGAACATACCCTAAACAGAATAAGGAGATGTATGAGAATAACAAATTTAAGAGCAAGGCCAGGTGCTTCACTTCCCAATCTGCCCTCTTGCAATGATTCTGGGTACCCAATAACTGAGAGTGAAGTGGCATTTACTAGCAGCTTCCTAACATGAAAAAGAGTAAGGTGCAAATGGAAAGTACCTGATGGATGACATAGATGCCATAAGCAAGCTGCTGGCGCTGCAGGAAGGGGTGTAGATGGTAGAGCAGCAAACGCAGGTGGTGCTCCCGGGCACGATGGGGCACAATAATGGCTGTTCGGGAGCGGGGTTCACACCCAGCAGGGCGGTACCGGCCCCCTGGTTCCACCCGAGGATTCCGCTCTACAATCTCTGCTAGTGATGGCACTGGGCTAAAGGACACCGACACAGGGCCCACTGTTGGGAAAGGAATGGTAAGTTCAGGCAGATTGGAAGGGAAAGGAGAAAAGAATGAGCAGTAGGGCCTGGGAATACATCTGGCCCTGAGCTCAGTTTTCCCCAGGGCTCATTCAGAAACTTTACAAGCCTTGGATTTCCCTTTGTTTATTTTTTTATTTTGGTTATGGGGCTTGAACTCTGAGCCTGGGCACTGTCCCTCAGCTCTTCAGCTCAAGGCTAGTGCACTACCATTTGATCCACAGTGCCACTTCCAGTTGTTTTATGGTGGTTAATTGGAGTTAAGAGTTTCACGGGGGGCTGGGAAGGTGGCTCAGTGGTAGAGCGCTTGCCTTGTATGCATGAGGCCCTGGGTTCGATTCCTCAGCACCACATAAGCAAAAAGAAAAAAAAAGCCAGAAGTGGCACTGTGGCTCAAGTGGTAGAGTGCTAGCCTTGAGCTGAAGAGCCGAGGGACAGTGCTCACGCCCAGAGTTCAGGCCACACAACAGGACCAAAAAAAAAAAAAAAAAGTTTCACGGACTTTTCTACCTGGGCTGGCTTTGAACCACAATCCTTAGAGCTCAGCCTCCTGAGTAGCTAGGATTACAGGCATGAGCTACCAGCGCCTGGTTGGGTTTCCCTTTATTCAGACAACTGCTCAAAGCTTGGAAGGGGCAGACTCTCACATGGCCTACCTTCTTAATTTAGGGTTTTATAACTTTGTCCCATTCCACAGGGTTTGAAGCTAAAGTTGGGAGAGGGAACAGAACTTCCAACTAGCTAATTAAGCCAGGGTACATCTACAAAGTGAATAATTCCTAGCTTGAGGCAGGAAAAGCCCATAAATGAACAGGTAGTGGAAGGCTGTGACTCAATCAAAGAGCCTAAATTCTAATTCAGAGTCCACTCTTCCTCTACCTCAGCCCAACCAGTATACATTAATCTATATCCCATTCTGTGACTGCCCAATATACCTTGTCATTTCTTTCAGTTTTCTTTTGTACTCACCTAAGAGAGGAGACCGTTCAGGACAGTAGGGCAGAGCTTGAGGAGCTAAAGGACCTCCAGGGGCTACAGGGGCCCCAGGCAGGTGACTGAGGTTACTGTAGACATCCCGGGGGTGAGAATAGTCAAATGTTGGCCCCTGATCTCTGCCAAATAGGGCACTAAGACTTCGGAAGCCCCCTAGTGACAGGTACATCATGACAGCCAGCTGGGAGCCCACAAGCAGGGCCAGGGTACAGGGCCTCTCCAACAGCCTCCGCAACATCCTGACTTGAGGTCTGAGGAGGGAGAGAGGAGACTTCTGGGAGGAGGCAAGAAGACAGCAAGCCAGCAGGAAGATTAGCAGATCAGAAATGAGGAAGGGTGCCAGGGGCAGTTAAAACAGGCAGAGAACAAAGTCATAGAAATAAACACACAGGTGTACAGTCAGTCACACAAGGAAAGGAAATACCTAGAATGTAACCACCAGTAGTTCTAACACCTGTCACTTTCAACCCATGTTTTACTTCCATACACGTCCCCTCTCACCCCCAAATCACTCCTACCATCTATTCTCAGTCCCCACCCCTGAGAATGCTTTTATCATTCAAATTCCATGTTCATTTCACAAGTCTCTGATGTCCCTCCAGTCTTAAAGAAGGGAAGACAGACCTACCTAGGTTCAAGCTGTCTTCTTCCGGACAGTGGGGGCTCCAGGGGGTTCTGGGGGTACACCGATGTGAGGCATTATCTAGAACTGGAAATGTCACAAAAGAGAGGGAGGCTCCATCCAGCTCCTCACAGCAAATCTGGCACCAGCTGGAACAGAAGTGATCAATGATAATCAAACACTTGCATGCAGAAATCAAGGTTTGTGGGGTGTGGCTCAAATGAGATAATACCTGTGTTCAAACCCACCACCACCACACATCATCATCATCATCATCATCGAAACTAGTTTTCCATCAGGGGAAGTGAAGGAAATTGTTTGGAAAGAAAAGGAGGTGTGCAGAGGACACTAGGTTACTGGCCTTTCTCCCTGGCTACTCTGGAGTGAGTATGACAGTGTCAGGTCTGTACTTAACCCTCAATCCCAACAGAGCAGATTATTTTGGGAAGTAAGAACTGGGCAACAAATGGGGGTGTCGCTCCCCGCCCCCCCCCATCCTGAAAACCCGTTGAAGAGGCAAGACAGTCATGACAGGACCTTGGAGTGGCTTCAGGAGAAGCCAGGGCGAAGTAGGAAACAGGCTCGTTCCGTTCTTCACGAGCCAGGGAACTTGCTTGGCAGGTGCAGGGAGCATGACCACCTGGGAGCTGCAAGCCAGCAGCCACGAAGCGAGCGTAGCGCTGACGGGAGCAGGGTGGGGGTGGCGTCCTTTACCTTCCTACCTTTCCAGGTTCTAATGCGGGTGGGGAGGAGGGTGACTGCCGATGTGAGTGGGCCGAGGCATAGGTGGTCAGGGGTACCTGGACAGGCTCACCTGGAGGGGCGTGGCAAAGGATGTACCCGGGGATTAACACCCCGTTCATTCGGAGCACACCCATTTCATCCATCTCCCCCCTCGTTTGCCTTGCCGTGCAAAATGTGCCCACCCGGCACCCGTCCACACTTCTGCGCGCGACCTCCGTCTCTTCTCAAGCTTTTCTCTAGCCTTTGCCCAAAACTTCTCACTCTCCTGACCACCTGAGCCGTTCTCCGAGGCTTCTCCCGTCACGGTCCTCAGTTTACATACCTAGTGGGCTTGCAGTCGTCACCGCCACCCCGACAGCCGGGCAGGGGCTGCAGCCGCCATCTTGGAAGCGGGCGCCGCGGGGCGTGGCCTTTGCGTCACAGAGGCGGAACTTTGGGGGCGGAGGAACGCTCCGTGTGGCCTCCGGGTCGCGGCGGGAAGGCGGCGGGATTCCACCTTCTCACCTCCCGGGGTGGTGAAGACCGTAGTTCTGCTCTTTCTTTTGCGCTGGGACTGAAACTGACCACCGAGACGCTGGTGGAGTTTCTGCGTCGGACGACCTCCCTCACCCAGGGAGCCCTATTCCCCGACTGTCATTGGCGTCCCCTGCAGCCCAGAACCATTTTAAATCAAGTTTATTTCTCGCTCAGGCTGCAGAGTTGCTGTTGTATCCCCGTGCTTTAAGTGGAGACAGTTAATAAAACTAAGAAACGGTGAGTGTGCAGGGAAACATATCTGCTTTAATGTAAGACAGTGTTTCCCTAGGTTTTGGAATAAAACGGAGGCTACATTACATGGATTGTATTGTGGGGTATATATATATATATATAAATGTATATTTAAATTAATTCTTATTTTTTTACTTTTGTGCCGGCCCAGGGGCTTGAACTCAGGGCCTGGGTGCCATCTCTGAGATTTTTTGTTCAAGGCTAGTGCAATACCACTTGAGCCACAGCTTCATTTCCAGGGTTGTTTTTTTTTTTTGATGGTTAATTGGAGATAAAAGTCTGAGGCAGGAAAGTCTGCCACATATTTTTGTTGTTCTTGTGGGCTTTTTGTTTTTGTTTTTGTCAGTCCTGGGGCTTGAACTCAGGGCTAGGGCACTGTCCCTGAGCTTCTTGAGCTTCTTTTGTTCAAAGCCAGCACTTTACCACTTGAGCCACAACACCACTTCTAGCTTTTTCTGCTTATGTGTTGCTAAGGAATGGAACCCAGGGCTTCATGTAGGCATATGCATAGGCAAGCATTCTACCACTAAGCCACATTCCCAGCCCCCCATATTGTACTTTTAAAAAAAAAATAAAAATGAGGCTGGGAATGTGGCTTAGTAGTAGAATACTTACTAGCATGTATGAAGCCCTGGGTTCCAGTCCTCTACCACATAAACAGAAAAAGCTGGAAAGTGGCATTATGGTTCAAGTGGTAGAGTGTTAGCCTGAGCAAAAAGAAGCTCATGGACAGTGCCCAGGCCCTGAGTTCAAGCCCCAGGACTAGCAAAAAATAAAAATGTTTGAAACTGGGAGAGCAAGGGAGGAGGTAACATTGGCCAAAAAGAAGTATACTCTTTATCTGACTTATGTAACTTTAACTCCTCTGAACATCATCTTTAAAATAACAATTAAAAAATCATTTGTTGGCCCCGTGCCAGTGGTTCACCCCTGTAATCCTAGCTACTCAGGAGGCTGAGATCTGAGGATCATGGTTCAAAGCCAGCCTAGGCCGGAAAGTCTCTGAGACTCTTATCTCCAGTAAACCACCAGAAACCTGGAAGTGGCGCTGTGGCTCAGATGGTAGAGTGCTAGTTTTAAGCTAAAGAGTGAGGGATAGTGCTCAGGCTCAGAGTTCAAACCCCACAACCGAAAAAAAAAATATCATTTATTTTGGCCAGGCATCAGTGGCTCACACCTATAATCCTAGGTCTAGAAGCTGTGATATGAGGATGGTGGTTCAAAGCCAGCACAGTCAGGAAAGTCTGTAAGACTTTTATCTCCCATTAACTACCAAAAAGCCTGAAATAGCTATTGAGCTGTGACTTTTTGATCTGTAGCTCAAGTGGTCGATTGCTAGCTTTGTACCAAAAAGCTCAGAAACAATACCCAGATTCTGAGTGCAAGCCCCAGGACGGCACAAAAAGAATTTAAGTAAAATAAATAAATATTTGAAGCCAGGTGGGGGAGGCTCATGTCTGTAATCCTAGTTAGTGAGAGGCTGAGATAAGATCAAGATTCAAAGCCAAATAGGGAAAATCCATGGTCAATCTCCAATTAATCACCAAAAAGCTGGAAGTGGAGCTGTGGCTCAAATGGCAGAGTTACAGCCTTAAGCAAAAAAGCTAAGTGACAGTACCTAAGCCTTGAGTTCAAGCCTAGTAACTGCACTGAAAAAAATAAAAGTAATTGTCCATGCCAAGCAAACAGTAAGAAACGCAGTGTCTACCTCAGAAAGTTCATGGTCTCTTGTGTATGTATGAGGGAAGGAAGGGATGGAAATGGTGTACTGTGATAAATATGATAACCCAGAAATGACACCTCATTCATACGTGGAGATTCCAGGAAGGCTTTCTAGAAATAGTGATGGGCTAATGGGAAGTCTGAAGGATTTGTCTATAATAAGTCATGCTTTATATGATTTTATTTTGTTGTTATTGGTGGTGGTGATGGTCTTGGAGCTTGAATTCTGGGCCTTGGCACTATCCCTGAGCTCTTCAGCTCAAGGCAAGCATTCTACCACTTGAGTTACTGGGCCACTTCTGGTTTTCTGGTGGTTAATTGGAGATAAGAGTCTCAGACTTCCTGCCTAAGCTGGCTTCTAACCATGATCCTCATATCTCAGCCTCCTGAGTAGCTAGGATTGCAGGCATGACCACCAGCGCCTGGCGAATCTACTTTTATTTTGTTTGTTTTTGCCAGTCCTGGGGCTTGAACTCAGGGCCTGGGCACTGTCCCTGAGCTTCTTTGTTCAAAGCTAGCACTCTATCACTTGAGCCACAGCACCAATTCTGGCTTTTTTTGTGTATGTAGTAGAGGAATTGAACCCAGGGCTTCATGCATACTGGGAAAACACTCTACCACTAAGCCACATTCCCAGCCATGATTCTATTTTTAATGAGAGTTGTAATTCATATAGATAAGTAATCAGCATACATATTATTTCCTGTCTGGTATAGGTTCAATTACCTCCTACTTCCCAATCTTGAGGAGAAAAAGAACCCCACATATTTATTCATGATTGTATTCCTAATCTGTAAATGTGTGTGTTGTCTATTTTGTTTTATGTCAGTTGTAGCTGACAGTTCCTTCATGAGTTAAGTAAAAGAAATGCACATTCAAAGTGAGAGAGTAAATATGTATCCATGTCCATCAGACAGGATGTGTAATTAGGATACAATAAAACATTGCTTTTAAAGCCAAAAAAAAAAAAAGAAATGCACATTCAGTTTTTTCTCCCTAACCAAACTTTAGATGGGCTCCTCTTTGCCCTCTTTTTAACTAGGTCTTATCCTGGAGTCCTACCTTTGGTGTGCTTAGGCACTTTAAGCAAGAATCCTGTCCAGCCAGATAAGCCGGAGTCCCTCTTCCCTCCCCTGCCCCACCCCTTGATATCTGATCACTTTTTTCCAGCTTTCAGCAAGAATCCTGTTAAGTCCATTTATCAAGAATCCTACCTTAGATGTAAGTTTTCTTCCATACCCAGAATCCTTTATTATTTAGTCCCCACTGTCCTTACCTATCAGAATTTAAGTTTCATTGGTCTCCTGCCCTCCCCTCTTCTTCTTCCCTCTCCCCCCACAACAGTCTTTTTTTACCCTCTGTGTGTGCTGGTCCTGGTGCTTGAACTCAGGGTGTGGTCTCTGAGCTTTTTGTGCTCAAGGTTAGTGTCCTACCATTTGAACCACAGCTCCATTACCAGCTTTTTGGTAGTGAATTGGAGATAAGAATTTCAGAGCCAGGCGCCTGTGGCTCAAGCCTGTAATCCTAGCTACTGACGAGGCTGAGGTCTGAGGATCACAGTTCAAAGCCAGTTCAGGCAGGAAAGTCTGTGAGACTCTTATCTCCAATTAACTACAGGAAATAATGAAGTGGCACTGTGGCCCAAGTGGTAGAGTGCTAGCCTTGAGCTGAAGAGTGAGGGACCGTGCCCAGGCCCTATGACTGACAAAAAAAAAGAAACAAGAGAAAAAGAAAAAAAGAAAAAGAAAATTTCAGGGACTTTCCTACCTGGGCTAGCTTTGAATCATGATACTCAGATCTCAGCCTCCCAAGTAGCCAGGATTATAGGTGTAAGGGACCAATGCCCAGCTCTTTTAGTCTTTCTTACTGTTTTAACAGCTGTCTGAATAAGTCCTTTAGGGGAAAAAAAAATAAGCTGGGCATGGTTGAATGCACTTGTAATAACAAGTGCATTTAAGGGGGATCTGGAGTTCCAGGCCATCCTGGGATACATAGTGAGACCCTGTTTCAACTACCCCCCCTCCACATACACCAAGAAAAGAATAACATCAAAAGAATATGATAAGATGTGAATCAACTTTTTGGACTTTAGTTCTAAGTTGGAAGAGATGTTACAAAAAGTTGGGATTGGAAGCATGGTTCAGTTGGTAGAGTGCTAACAAATGAGCGAAACTATCAGGTACCCAGTTTGAACCCTGGTGTTGGACCAAAAAGAAAAAAGTTAAGAGTTAGAGGAGAGAATAAAAGGCTTTGTTGCAAAAGGCGGATAAGTCATAATTTTTACCTTTTTCTGAAAATTATCTTTTTTTTTTTGGTTTGGGGTAGGCATTCAGTTTAGGGCCTTATGCTAGCACTCTACAACTTGAGTTTTCTGGTATTTTGCTGGTTAACTGAAGGTCATAGTCTCTTGGACTTTTCTTCTCCTCAGGCTGACTTTGAAACTTAGTCCTCAGATCTCTCAGCCTTCTGAGTAGTTAGGATGACCCACTAGCACCCAGTAAATATTATCTCTTAATAGTTGAGCATTGTTCTAGGCAGAGGATACAGTAAATGCAAAAGTCTGGAAGTGAGAGGTATGGTTTAAATGATAAGACCCTGGGTTCAATTCCTAGTATCCATAAAGAAAAGACGGGGAAAGGGGGTCTGAAAATGAGAAAGAACTTAGAAAATTTGACTAGACAACAGAATGATCCTGTATGATATGTATAAACACCTTGTTCAACCCCAACAACAAATAAATAAATGAGTTTGGGTTTTATCCCAAGGACAAGAAGACGTTAAAGTTTTCTGAATAGAGTGCTATAATCAGTGACATTTTTGACATCAGAGACAGAAAGAGATACTTTAAAACTGCTAGGAGGCAAACAGGACTTGATGACTGAGTAGATGTGCTAAGTTGCTGAG